TGTGTTAGCCAACTGCTAACATTCGTGTTAGCTAACCGTAGCATGTTAGCTAACTGCTAACAGATGTGTGTTAGCTAACAGCTAACAGTAGCGTGTTAGCTAACTGCTAACATACTTGTGTTAGCTAACTGCTAACACAAGCATGTTAGCTAACAGAGGCGTGTTAGCTAACAGCTAACAGAAGCGTGTTAGCTAACCGCTAACATACGTGTTAGCTAACTGCTAACAGAAGCATGTTAGCTAACAGCGGCGTGTTAGCTAACTGCAAACAGAGTCATGTTAGCTAACTGCTAACATACGTGTGTTAGCTTATTTTGGTTAAACTGTTTCAGTTTTCTGGTTTATGTTTTGTCAGCTTTAGTTTTCAGATTAGAATTTTCTGTTTTTCTTTTCTACCTGAGCATGAATGATAAATCTTTTCAGAATAAAACTTGAAGCGAAGCAGCAGCTACGATCATTTAGCATCAGCAGCTAACGGGGATAAACCGTAGCTTCAGTGATTTCTTGGTGCCGCTGCTCTGTTTTTAACAATTAAACCAAAAATACTGAAAATTAAAGTTCAGCTGCAGAAATCTGACAGTTAGCATTAGCCTGGCGGCCATGTTTGAACCTTTTACAGTTTGTTAAATAAAATTGAAACTAAATTAAATGTTTGTTTTTATCAGTAACTTCATGTCTCCCCCCACACAATCACACTCACACACACTAAAACCGTCCAACCTGTGTGGACTTTTGTCTCCGTTTGTCTTACCGTCCTGATTCAGAATCCTCCTTCCTGTTATTCTAATTATTCTAATTATTGTTGTTGTTGTTTGTTGTACAGATTTATTGTGGAAATTAAAGCAGAATCTTTTTGTCACGTGTCTCTTTTCAATAAAGAATAAAGCTTCTTAATATAAACCATCTCCAATTGGACTTTTTGTCACGTTTGTGTCCACGCTGAACCCTGGACCCAAGGAGTTCTGTTTACAGAAATGTCTCAAATGTCCCCCGCTTGTCTCCGGTTGAGCTGCTGCCCTGAGGTCAAATGATGCCAGGACAGCAGGAGGGTTCACATGTCCCTTTAAATGTCTCTGTTGGATTCTGGTTAATAAAGTTTTTTCAAGTGTAAAAAAAAAAATAATAATTAAACTTTTTTACAAAACTCCTCCCTCACCCTGGAGACAGTTCCCACCTGCCTGAAGACCACCACCATCATCCCAGTCCCAAAAAGCTCTACAGTGACTGGTCTGAATGACTATCGGCCAGTGGTCCTCACCCTGATAGTCACTAAATGCTTCGAAGAACTGGTCATGACTCACATCAGAACAAACATCGAGGACCCTCATCAGTATGCATACCGTGAGAACCGATCAACAGAGGACACCATCTCCTCTGTGGTCCACACTGCACTCAACCACCTGGAGCAGAAAAACTCCTACGTCCGTATGCTCTTTGTGGACTTCACATCCACCTTCAACACCATGATCCCCCAAACCCTGATGGACAAACTATCCACACTAGGACTAAGCCCCTCCATTTGTAACTGGGTACTAGACTTCTTAACAAACAGACCACAGTCAGTGAGGATCCACAACTTCTCCTCCTCCACCATAACCCTCAGCACTGGCTCTCCTCAGGGATGTGTGTTGAGCCCCCTCCTGTTTACTCTGCTCACGTATGATTGTGCAGCTACCCATCCAGGCTGTCACATTGTAAAGTTTGCAGATGATACAGCGGTGGTGGGATGCATCACAAACAATGATGAGTCCAGCTACAGGCAGGAGGTGGAACATCTGGAGAGCTGGTGCAAAGAGAATAACCTTCACATCAATGTGAAGAAGACAAAGGAGATGATTGTGGACTTCAGAAGGAACAAAAACACCTACACCCCCCTGAACATAAGAGGATCTGCAGTGGAAGTGGTCTCCAGCTACAAGTACTTGGTGTGCACCTGAACAACAACCTCAGCTGGAGCAACAACACCACCAGCCTGATGAAGAAAGCTCATCAGAGACTCTACTTCCTCAGGCGGCTCGATCCTCCTGGATCCACGATCTCATTCTTTCAGTCTCTACCAGAGGTGAGGGGAGGAACGTAGACCGACCGGTAAACAGAGCTTTGTCTTACAGCTCAGCTCCCTCTTCACCACAACGGACCGGCACAGAGTCCACAATACTGCAGACGCTGCACCAATCTGTCAGTCTCACGCTCCATTCTTCCCTCACTGTGAACAAAACCCTGAGATGCTTGACCTCCTCCAGTTGAGGCAGAACCTCACTCCATCCCCACTCATTCATAATCTTGGTGTTCTCCTCGACTGCACTCTTTCGTTCGAGTCACACAGACGACTCGCTGCATTCTTCCACCTCACAAACAGCACGACTCCGCCCATCACTCACTTCTCCTCTGATGGAACCTAATCCATCCAAACCTCTCAACAAACTGCGACGTATTCAAAACTCTGCTGCCCACCTTCTCACCCGCTCCCGTGAACATACGACTCCTGCAGGACCTCCACAGGCTCCGTCCATTTCAAGATGCTCCTCATCACATTCAAAGCCCTCCATGATCTGGCCCCCCATACCTGACCCACCTACTCCGTGATCTGGCCCCTCCATACCTGAC